TTATTAACTATTAATAAATTAAATATATATTATTAAAAATAAATTTTTAATATTGATCTATTAACTTAGTTTTAAGGAGTCAAATATAAGATATTATATGATTTGTGTGTATGGTTTAATGATCCTCAGATTTTATTCATTAATACAAAACAATATTTTCCAGAAGCATATTTTTATTGAATTAAATAATCACATAACTGTTTTTGTATAATTTATAACTTTCAAAAATCTCGTCCCCTAAAATTATAGATACGAAAAGTATATATATATATATATCGTCGTCAATGCGATTTGGTGGTACAGTGTGGGTAGACGATGCTGCCGTTGATCGGCAACAAAATCCGGCAATTCATATGCAACCAGAACTTCACCGAACCCAGCGGTCCAACTCTCCATCTCGTCCTTGAATTCCCTTTCAAGAAGAACGGCATCGTCGTTCCCTTCTCCAACGCCTGTTGCGTCAAATCCTGTTGCGCCGGTTCTAATGGAATCGGCGATGACTCCACCACGTAACTCAGCTCCTTCGTCGTGTTCTTTCGTACATCGAACGGATCCGCCACCAATTGCGCGATGCTCAGCCCGTGGTAACGGAGGATGAGTTTTGTGTTGTAGTAGGTGACGTGTGCTTTGAGGTTATGGTTCTCGGCTTTTATAATGAGTATTAATCGGACGGAGAGAACGCCGGTTTGATCGTACATGACTTCGTCGAGACGAGCGGCGTTGACGTAGAGGAGAGGTACTTTAGGGCGGATGGCGAGGTATCCGATGAAGACGATGATGCCGGCGATGATGACGATGATGGCTATGATGGCGCAGATGAAGGCTAAGAACCAGATCAAGGGATTGGTACGGCGTTGGGGGCCGAGCACCGGCGGTTTTGGCATCGAGAAGTGGGACCGCATGGAAATGTATTGTTTATTGAGAGGTAGGTAGAGGGTGGTTTTGAAGGGAAGGAATAAAAAAGTTAAGGTACGTTACCCATATGTAAAGCTACTCTCTGACATCTTCTTCTACAATTAGAATCTTCTTCTTCTTTTTCTTTTACTTGTTATATCATCCACAGACACGGAACACAAGCTTTTTAAACCAAGGGGTCGAACCTAAATCTTATAAAGTGTCGTATATACGAGTATGGTACTATGGTATGCTTCAATGTAATGGACATATATGTTTAAAAAATACACTACTTAAAATTAGGGCCGTAAACGAACACGAACGATAAACGAATGAAATTTTGTATGTTCATGTTCACTCGTTAAGAAAATGTGCTTGTTTAAAGTTGGTTAATATTCGTTTGTCAAGATAGATGCTCTTCTAAAGCGCAACTCATTGGTAATAATTATTTAAGAGAATACGAGAACGGCCAAATTACGTGCAAAATCATGTGATTTCAGGTCATAGGGCCAAGTCATATGAATCATATTTGATTTTGTATGTGATGTTAATATAAAATCACATATGATTTGACCGCTTTCTTATTTTCTTAAATATACGTTGTTCTCATTTGAACCCGACTATGTGTGTGTGTGAGATGTGCGAATGAGATTAATCATTTGAGAACCCACGAAATTATGAGGACTCTTCATCTAATGCTATAGGATTTATGGTGTTTATTACCATATATTTGTTTCACACCGTATTTTTTTTTTGGCTTTTTTGGAAACAAAAAATTGCATCTAAAATGTATCTCATTATGAATTGAAAATATATGAAAGAAGCGCATTATGAAATAAATAAATGTTAATTCAATACATCAAATACTAACCTTAGATGGAAAAAAATCATGTGAAACATATCTTAAGAATAAAAGTGCTTACAGTTATCAGAATGTATGTGTTCTCATTTAAAATATATGTGTGTGTGTATATCTATATCTATACTATCTTATAAAGCATTAAGTTAAAACTCTTAAAAATTTTTAAACTTGTTCATCCCTAAACGATTTCATCTCTTTCCGATTTCATCCTATATCTGAATTCATGTAACTAACTGCAGATAAACACAATCAAATACATGATAAACATCTCATTTTAAATATAAAAAATCTAAAATATAATTAGTATAATCA